ACATGGATGTGGGAATCAAAGGAATACTAAGTAAGTTTGTCAATGACATTAAACTGGGCAGAGCTATTGACTTTCTCAAGGGCAGAAAGGCCCTGCAGAGAGACCTTGACAAATCAGAGGTCTGGTTGTTCACCAACCATGTGAAGTTTAATGAAGGCAGGTGCCAGATTCTGCACCTGAGATGGGGCAACCCTGGCTGTGTGGACAGACTGGGGAACAGCCTCACCTCGAGCCCTGTGTGCAGTTTTGGGTGCCACAATATATGAAAGACATGAAACTATTACAGATTGTTCAAAGGACGGCTACAACAATGGTGAAGGATCTGGAGGGAAAGCCATGTGAGGAGTGGCTGAGGTCACATGCTCTGTTCAGCCTGGAGAAGACACTGAGGGGAAACCTCATTGTGGTCTTCAGCATCCTCACAATGGGAAGTGGAGGGGCAGCCACTGATACCTATTCTCTCATGACTGGGGACAAGACTCAAGGAAGACATGAAGCTGAGTCAGGGGAGGTTTAGGCTGGATATTAGGAAAAGGGTTCTTCACCCAGAGGGTGTTTGGGCACTGGAACAGGTTCCTCAGGGAAGTGGCAACAGCATCAGCCCGAGAGAGTTCAAGAAGCATCTGAAAAACACTCTTAGGCACATGGTGTGATTCTTGGGGTCGTTGTGTGCAGGGCCTGGAACTGGATTCAGTGATCATGGTGGGTCCCTTCCAACTTAGCATATTCTGATTCTATCATAAGAAATTCTGTGAAGTTTTTTTTCAACAAGAAACCTCAGTTTCTTGACACTGGATCACATTCATCTGTTTCCTTCTAGTCCTGGTATCACATTCCCAATGCATGGAATCCCAGATATGCTTATGCATACTTGAAAATAGAACTCTGCTTCTTACTAAGCTTCTAAAACCACTGGAAAATCCTGTAAAATAGATCCAGCAAATCACCAAAAAGAAATCCCCTTAAGAAAAAAAACCAAATAACCCCCCCAAACAACAAATTTTACTTTTTCAAGTGTTACCATCACATTTATTGAACCTAGTAATTTTCCCTTGCTATTCAGAGACAAAAGAAAAAATACATCTAATCTCCAAACAAAAGGACTTGAAAAGGTCAATGTAACCAGAACCCATCAAGTAACAGAGCTAACATCATAGAAAAATAACATAAAATCTGCTATATTTTTCCATGAAGAGCTATTTCCCAGTAATTCAAAAGGATAAGGAATTAAATAGAAAAGTAACATCTACAGCAATTTCCCAAGAGAAACAGTAATGTTAGTGCATTTCAATTACTGTATACATGGTTCTGCAGATTGTTACACTTAAGCACTGTTTGTGTTCAGACAGATTTCTCTATTATTGGCCATTTGAGAACTCATGGCTAGATGCATCTTCTTGAGTGAACAACAACACATTCCAAATCAAGGCATGGTCAAGACTGACAGACAAAGCAGGAAATTTCCCTGCATCAAGGAAGAACAGCTAGCAGCCAGATTAAGGAATCACTTAACTTATTTGTGAGATTTTATCTACTTTTCTAAAATCCCAATTACACACTCAGAAATGAAAAGATGGAGGTTTTGTTTGTTTGGGGTTTTGTGAGTTTGTATAAACTTGGAAATGGCATCATCTTACATCTTTAATATTCTCCCTTGCTTCCCTCCAGCCAAGGTAAAAGCTTTGATGTAAGTTATTTATTAGGTGGACTTATATGCTCATAAGGTTGGTGTTTATGTCGTTTATCAGGGGTACCCTCCACAGATGGAGAAAATTAAGAAAAAGCCACCACTCACTCCTAAAACATGAAATTCAAATCTGGAATGAAAGTAGATGAGAGAGGGGCAAACAGCAGTAAACACTTTTATGACAAAGGAATAAATAAAACCAAGAACATCCTAGAAGACATGGAAGTTAGTGAATGTAATACTTTTGACAAAGGAAGACAAAAGATTCCTTCATAGTTCTTCACAGACATAAATCAGTGACAAAGAACGGAGCAATCCCTGCCCAGAAACAAACCCAGAGAGAAAACTGGGGCAGATCAGAATCATGCTGTAGAAAACAAAGGGTATATTATCATCCTTTTCTGCACACAGAAATTCCATTGACATAAAGTGGCCATTTGATGAATAACACTCCATACCTGACATAGGGCATCCAGTGCAGAAATTCTAGTTCAGGTCTCAAAAGTAATATTCCTATATTAGCCCAAGCTATATTGCTACTAATTTCAGAAACAGCAGGTTGTTTGTCCCATGCTCTACTGCACAGTATATAACCATAAACAGAATTTCTTACCAGGACTCCATAAATTACCTACCTCCTTGTGGTGGCTTGAGCCTGGCTGGATACCAGGTGCCCACCAAAGCTGCTCTTTCACTCTACCCCCTCAACTAGATAATCAAGAGAAAATACAATGAAATCCTCATGGGGCAAGAGTAGGACAAGGAGAGATAACTCATCAGTTACTATCACAGGCAAAACAGACTCGATTTGGGGAAATGCAATTGAATTTATTACGAATGAAATCAGAATAGGATAGTAAGAAATCAAACAAAATCTTAAACCTTCCACTCACCCCTGCCTTCTTTCTGGACTCAACCTCACTCCTGATTTCTTTACCACCTTCCAACCCATAAGTGACACAGGGAGACCAGGAAGATTGTCACACATTGTTTCTGCCATTTCTATCTCCTTGCTCTTTTCCCCAGCTCCAGTATGGCATTCTACTCATGGGAGACACTCCGCCACAAACTTGTGCAGCATAATATCCTCCCCCTGGGGCTGCAGTTCATCACAAACTTCCCAGAGTAGGTCCCTTCCATGGGCACAGTCCTTCAGGAATGCACTGCACCAGCTTGAGTCCCCCATGAAGTCACAAGTGCTGCCAGCAAAGATGCTCCAGCATGGGCTCCTCTCTCCGTGGGTCCACATGTCCTTCCAGGAGTCTGCTCCAGCATAGGCTTCCCATGCAAACACAGCCAAGAAAAAAATCTAGTTCTAGTCTATGCCTGAGTGTGGTAATGACCATATTTCACCCACCACATTGCACAGGTTCAGCTTCTCAGTAAATGAGTTTAATTCTTAAATGGCCATGAATGTTACGAGTTCCCCTACACACAGGTATAGCAAAAAAAAATTCCATGGCAAATAAAACTTAAACAAAAAATATCAAGGTTCTAGTTCATAATTCTGGCTAGAAAAACAGAAAAATTGGACTAAGTGGATGAAAATATTGAGAGTCATTATATAGAGTGATGCATTTCTGTCTCTAGTTAGTGTAAAAAGAAAATGTATGTAGATGTATAAATATACAGTTAAACATGTAATATTTACCCAGATTAAAATGTGAAGCTACTGGACTTCAAAGTTAGAAAAATATACACCGAACTCCTTTTAGGCTACAACCAGAGCTTAGCAGCATCCACCTGAGCTTTTGTTCCTGTGCTTATTACCCTTTCTCTTCAAAGTACCTTGGTGATTGCACTTTCTTCCATGGCCTTTTCCGTATTCACATAAAACTACTAAAAGTTAAAGAGAAAGGAGATATTACAAAGTTATAACTTTTCCATTTGTTTCAACAAAGCCAGGTGCCCTTTCTCTGGCTGAGGTCAATGCTGGATAAATAAAGCCTGATGAAAACTTGCACTGAAAGTACTGCAGTGGACACTTTGCATCAGAGAGCTTCTTCACAATTTTTCAATATGGTTTACTACTAACAGCTGCAATTCTGGTGGATGACTTCTTCACTATTATCTCTAACTCCTATACAGAAATATGGTCTAGGACTCTACATTTTATTTTTCCTGATTATGACCTGATCTCAAATCAGATACGTCCTTACTGCATACTCTTAAATTAGTATCATATAATTCTTCTGAAATCTTTAAAATATTATCCCTGGACTAAAGTCAATTATTTATAACATAACAAAGTACCTCTCACTGGGAAGAAGGTGTTACAGACAGCACGGTCAGATACCTCAGTAGCTTACTACAGATTTTGTCATGTTTAACTATGATTGCTTAATTGCCAAAAATCTAGATGGCATATGTCAAAAAAGTCTTTATTCATGGTCTGGCAAACTCTGCTCATCAAAAGCAGAAGTGTTGCAAAGCTTAGCCAGAAGGCAAGGTTTCATCTGGATTTAAGAGACATCTTTCCTGCAAGAAGAAATGAGGCTGAATAGCCTGAAAAAAATGAGGCTTATAGTTAAAAAAAACCCCACCAACATTCATATTTGTACAGCAACTTTCAGTGTATTTGCTTAAAATACTAAATTAAAAAGTAAAATAAAACATAATTTTAGTTGCATGTAGTTACAGGAGTTTATTTTGAACTCTGGCCAGTTCTGAAATACCTAATATACCAAGTGCAATATAAGAATAGCTAGGCATGATAGCACAGTGCTGAGTATTTATTTTGGCACTGGAGCTTTTTCCTTGTGGGTAGGGTTGGGGAAGAGGTCACACAGTTGTCAGTGGTCCCTCTTCCACTACAGGATTCTGCAGCATCATGTAGGAGCTATGGCAGGACTATTCAGGCACAGCTCAGGTGGCAGCGTTAGCCACCCCACACCGCTATGAATGCAACCTCCTGCAGGCTCCTAATGAAAGCAGTCAGGAGCCCAGCTGGCTGAGAATTTCAGCACCCCCTTCCCTCATGCTCCACACCTGATATTCTAACTTTCTCTGGGTCCCAGCCACCAACCTCCAGCACATTTTTTTTCCTATCCATCTCAAGGCTCACAATGTCCTCCCTCTGATCTATTGTTGCTTGACAGGCTCTTCTGTAACAGAAGCAGTGCTAGCAACAAGGTGCTATTTTCTGGGAGCCATTTTTAACCATCCCACAGGGAAATGTGATGTTGTCCCCCATTAAATAATGTTAGAATATTAGAACACAATGTGAAGGGTCAGTATTTGTAGTGCATTAATAGCCCAGCTAATGATTTTCATGTCAAGGTAACAGGACAGCAGCAGACGCTGGAATACTTGCCTCCATTTTTCCCCACAGTTCGGAAACACCTCCAGAAGGTCCGAAGAAAAGATGCCCTGTTATGAGGGGTGGCTTGAACAAAGCTGAACTCACGGAACAAAATGTGTGTTCCTTGCCGCACGCTGTTAAAACTGTGGACATAAAGTCAAAACAAGAATGTTAGAAAGCTGAACCAACATGAATGTTCTGGGAACAACTAGAACAGCAGCAAGAAAACCACTGGCCATTACATTTTGTGAAACCAAATCTCCAAAGTTTATACCCATCTGTTCTCTAGAGAGAAGACTATTTGCAAAAACCACACATTGAAATTTAATTATAGGAATTAGAGGTTTGTGAAAGTAAAATTCATTCTAAAGAATCCCAGCAAGGAGTGTCCAAGACCCACTTATTTGAAAACAATCCATTGGAAAATGGCTTACCAAGAGTAACTGTCGTTTATTTGACCAGAAGATGCCCTTTCTTTTAGTACCATTTGAACTTCACTGCTATTTTCATTACAGTTTTCTTTAAAGCCACAAAAAAAATCCTCTTTAAGAGAAGGCTCAAGATACCATTTCTAGGTTACTGAAAATTGACTGTTGGATGTATAAAATTTACTGTACTTGTGATGAAAAGCTGATTGACACATCACTAAACAACAATTTGCACTAATGCACTTTGAAAAGAGTAGCTGGACATTATGATGGATCTTCTATTCAACACTCATGTTTTTGGATTTTAGTATAAATTTCTAAAATATGAATCGTAAGCACTTTAGGCTAACTTATTACAGCAAACATTTGTCTTACAAAGGTTTCTCTGAAGTGCAAGAAGTTCTCCTTTGGGCATGGTAAAGCTCAACATACAAGAACAAAAGAAATGCAAATACAAACATTATATACCAAAAGGTATAATGACAGGGTTGCCTCAAAGATAGATTTTGTGCATTTCACTCAGCATCATGCAAGTGGGACAAAGCTTTGAAACACTCCAGAGAGATCATTAAAACATTCACTTGGGACAGCAGCTTAACTCTCCCTCATAGGAGAGAATTAATGAAAAGATACAAGTTTACTTTCATCACAGCAGATCCTCTCCATAGGTAGCATCTCCGCAACAGACAAAATCCGGTGGTCAGTGTGAACCCTCTCAGCTTGCAATTTTAACTCACCTCTTTAAATACAAAGACTTTAAATCACTTTATCCTTCATAGAAGATGAACATAGAAAAGTGTTTCACATTTGAAAGAGAATTATACCAAACAGAGTTTAGCAAAATTTAAAAAGGCATGTAACAACTGGGTGTGGGTGTGTGTAATGGAGAGAAGGCATTCAATTTTTACAAAAGGAATCACAATTTCTCATTTTTAATATCCTGGTTCTCAAACACATGAGCGAATGCAATCTGTTGTCATGTGTTGAAAGGTAGTGCAGAACACAGTCTCTAGCCTCCCTACCCAGAAGGAAAGGTAACTCAAATAAAATAAGTACAAGCACTTTATGATTAAGAAACACTCGTGACACTTGAATCCTAGAATCAGGAGTATTCTTTCTGTAAATATCATGGACAAATACAGTATTTCATATTTATGAAACCTTTTTCATGCAAAGTAAAGCACAACCATTGTCCCAAGAGATTAAAGTAAATAAATAAATCATGTGCTGGATCAAAATATGCCAAAATTACATGACTACCACTGTGAGTAAAGAGTATTCATTACAAAGTGCTGCTGCTCACTGCCTTAAAGTGAACAAGTTCAGAGTACCGTAAACTAACTTGCAGGAAGTCCCACAAGATGCCTGTGACAAAGCTGGAAATGGAATTTCAGATCTTCTCATCCCAAACCACAGCCTGTATGACTTCTTTCATTTCTGATCTGCATTGTTTCGCTGATGATTTGACAGACTGATGGAGAAAAGAAGGCTACAGATGAAAAAGAAGAAACTTGTTGTAATAGATGAAGGCAGCTTTCAGAAAGATAACACACATAAGGGAGACATTTTGGAAGAGAAAGAAAATGAAGGCACAATGATACAATTAAATGCACCAAATTATATTGCTCAGAACATCTACAGAACATGCAAATTTTGGAAGCAGATCCTGGCACAATTGTAACGGAAAGGTCCAGACATGAAGCTAACCTACTATTAATTCACAACAGACAGTCCTACTACATTATTCCTTATTTCTAATATGCAAAAACTACAGTCACTTGCATTTTCAGCATGGCATGGCTCTAAACCTACCAGGCAGAAGGGTATGATATCATTTGTTGCTTACTCAGTTAAAAGAGTGGGTGGATATGCTGGAACATCAGCACACCTGGATGTGCTGACAGCCAAGTGCCGCCAGCTAGTTGAGTAAAGGAGGATTTTGTTTAACTATACAGTGGAAGGATTTTCCCCCAAAAGCTCGAGACTGCAAGCCTGGGAATCAGAATTTTATCCCAGTTAAGATGCTACATTTCAGAAACCCTACTTTATAAATTCCTTTTTATAAGTAGTAAAAGTTCAGCTCAAAGGAGCCAGCCCATGATGGAGCTATCCAGAAAGCAGCCCAATAACAAATCTACTCTCAAACAGGGTCAAGATCACTATAAGGAACAGGAACATCATATATTTTGAATAAACTACATATGTTGAAATTCCTGTATCATGGGTAGATAGGCAGTACCAAAATAACTTGGCTACCTTTTTTTTTACAGCTGCCCAGAGATGAAGTTACCATTAATGTGGCAGTCTTACAGGTAAGCATTTCTGGACCAAAGAGAAATTATGACAACCCAAAGTTGTTATACGTATTCTACCAGTAGGTAGGGCATATGACCAACACCTTACCTTGATTTTAATACACATGCAAACAGATGTTTTTTCCCAATTACTTTTGAATACAAAAATGAAACAAGTTGCACTCAGAGAAACGGCTTAAGCAAGATATCAACAATAAAGGAACAAACTTAACCATTAAGCTCAATAATTCTCAGCAAGTTGAACAGCTGCTGAAATTCTTCCTGTAGGATTACTCAGTCTTCCCTCTATCTGTCCTCCTCACTGAACAGCTCATACTGTTAACAAAGTTAAATGGCCAGAGCTTTTCAGCACATTTGAAGAAGAAAGACAGGAAAAAGCAGGGTACCTCAACAAGTTATTACTTTGTCCTCAATCATTTAGAAATGGGTTTGGGAACCCAGAAGCAGGGAAAATAATTTTTCACTTCTCTGGTTAACTGCTCTTTTTCCCCCTTTTAGGCATTTAAAGTACAGCCATCTGCAAGAGATTCCTTCCAGAAGAAAGCTTTCAACAACTGTGCTAGTCTCCAAGCCTCCTTTTGCAAACCTAATGATTGCTTCAGTCGTCTATATTATCAGTAAATAGAGAAGGCAAATTGGAAGAGTAACAATAGTTACTAATGATGTGATTTTATTTGTCTTGCTGAAACCAAGACTACAAATTGAATTGAATGTTCATTAGTTAATACCAGTTTACTGTGAGCACTCATCTTTCATGCAAGAATTGTTAGGCAACTGGATACTCTGGTAACAAAAAAGCTTTTTCCATTCACTTGTGAGAAAATCCTGAAGAAAGACAAGAGAAGAATAAAGCAAGGTTCTCACTTGATGAAGCTATCTAAAGAAATTCTTACAGTAGGGGCTTCAGGATGCTTTCTCCCGCCTTTCCTTCCCATGTCCCAAAGCAGCCAAACCCCAGAACAGTCTCCTCCAACACCACTGCTGAGAGGGCTGCATCTTGCAGCACACCCATGCTATGCTTGTGGGATGGTACATGCATGTGAGGGGAAGGAAAAAGGTTTGGGAGGAGACTTTGATAAAACAGCCCCAGCTCTCAAAAATGGCTGTGCTGGGAATTCTAGCACTCAGGTGCTGCTTCTCTGAACAGAGCAGCTTTCATAAGGCTTTGTCTTTTGTGTATTTACATTTCGGCAACCTGCCAGAGTCCAGAAACTTTCAAGTATTCTTTTCAAACCTTTGGACTTCTAAATAGATTGTAGAAGTCCCAGGATGCTATGGTAACATCGCAATTGAAACTCATTTTAGCAGTTAGCCTCTGCCTGCTGAACCCAGGCAAAGCCAAATGTGCACAATGCAGAGTCCCAAGTCCTGAAGAAGGATGGAAGAGCTTGCCAGGACCTTGCTGTCCCCGTAGCAGGTACCACTTTAGGTTACCATGCAAAGAGTTGAACAAGCTCACAGGACCCCTCCTCTACCAAATGGAAAACAAGGAACAATGACTATTTTTTTCTAAATTGACAGCATTACTGCTTACATTTTCTGTCAAGAACATGATGAAGAAAAAATTTTGAAGGCTTCTTGAGCATGAACCATTTACACACACACACACACACGCGCACACTTTTCTTGCCAGCTACACAAGTGTCTAAGTCATTAAAACCAAGTTGAGTGCCTCAAGCAAAAATAAGGTAGTCTCAAATGCAAAGTTGCTGTCAGAGGCTATGTTCAGACTGACCGAAACATCTGTAGATGAAAGGAGTGTGGAAGATTTGTTTTTTCTTGACACATGCTCTGGACTAGTTCTAATCTAGTCCCATTGACTGAATGCTCATTTGCAGAAGGAATCTATCTTCCAGTTTAGTTCCATCTGAAAGGAACCCAGAGCTCCAAGACTGCATCATTGTGTAAGCTAAAGCACAGGGATAACCAGGAGTATTAGGATTAGAGACTGTTCTACAATGGGTACCAAAAAACTAGCTCTAGCAATAGAAAATACTGAAATACAAAAGGCTTTAAAAACCAGGCCATTTCTGTTGTTAAATAACTTATCCACAACAAAACATCCCCCAAATGACCAATTGCATTTAGCACGAGGCTATGCTCTGAGATAGCAAAGTGGGCTTTACCTTGCCTAGAAGGATCTCTGAGAGGGAACACTTAAAACTGGAGGCATAACTGGGTGAAAAAATAAATCACTGTTGTACTGATGAAATTACTGCTATATGAATGTAGTTTAAGATCATTTTATTATTCACCTCTTGCTTTAAATGTACTACAATACAAATCATTGGACTGTTTTTTTAGCTATCACACTTGGAAGGTAGTGTAGGACCATGAGCATTCCTCAATTCAAAGCCATTGTTCCATCCAAGTGCTTTTTAAAATTCCACAGATCTTAGA